ACTTTTTTGTATTTAATGTATCGCACTGTTTATTTGTTTTTGGGTGTACAATAAAGAATACTCTCTCTCTCTCTCTCTCGCTCAATGGCTGGGTTTATTTGAACATCGTCACATACAAATTAAGACACTTTTAGACGACAAAAAGTCGACGACGAAATTATTATTTTTCTTAGATGGTTGGACGAGCTCACAGCCCACCTGGTGTTAAGTAGTTACTGGAGCCCATAGACATTTACAACGTAAATGCGCCACCCACCTTGAAATATAAGTTCTAAGATCTCAGTATAGTTACAACGGCTGCCCTACCCTTCAAACCGAAACGCATTACTGCTTCACGGCAGAAATAGGCAGGACGATGGTACCTACCCGCGCGGACTCAGAAGAGGTCCTACCACAAGTAATTACGCAAATTATAATTTTGCGGGTTTGATTTTTATTACACGATGTTATTCCTTCACTGTGGAAGTCAATCGTGAGCATTTGTTGACTACGTATTTCAATAGAAAAATTGGCACCCGCCTGGGATTCGAACACCGGTGCATCGCTCAACACGAATGCACCGGACGTCTTGTCCTTTAGGCCACGAAAATAAGCGAAAATATTTTAAACGCAAACATAATACTTCAACAAAAAGCAGTTTTATTTGAGGATTCGTCTTTTTGCAATCAATTGAATTTGTAAAAAATTGAATACGTTAATATATTGAACAAATTCTAATATTATTGTATTCGTATCTCGCACAGCGGCGCCGTCCTCCACGCCCTCCGGAAATTGAACTTTGCGACGGGCTCTTGACCCGGGCTGTCAAACTGACAGCTGTCAAAACCCCTTTTACTCGGGCCAAGGAGTATAAATAATTGTCCTTTGGCCATGAATATTTCGAGAAAAATCTTTTTTGATAATACTCAAGACATATTGAGCTAGAATGTATTGGCACTGTTATAGAGAAGCATTTCGGGGTTGAAGTGGCAAAGAACAGGGCACGCTGCACGCTCGTAGAGCAATAGACCGCTGGGATACTATTACGGCGTGTGATAGTTGAGCCCTATGTCCAGCCGTAAATGTCTGTGGACAGATGTTGATGATGTTATCACAACAGTCGGATTCATTTTTTGCAAAATCGTGCATTTTAATCATGTCCAGTAATACACAAAGCTTTTACATAATTATAATTTAAAATGCATAAGCCTTCTCATACCAACTTCAGGACGCCATTGGTAATGGTCTTCACTTGTGTAAGTTAACACCGAATGGTTCGCCCTACGTATCCATCCGGGATAGTAAAAACATCAATATTTTAAGATTACGAAATCTCATAACCTTTAACTTGCCATAAACAAAAACTTAAGCAGCGTGCACGTACCGATTTAAAAAAGTTTACATAATCTGTACCTCCCCGATTTTAACTAAAATGCAATCGTTAAAAATCAATTCATGACCCCCGGGGGTCAAACCGCTAGATCGATTTGATATCGCTAAGCAGACTGTGATTTTCCTGACCATAAACGAACGTTGTAACTTCGCTGCGATATTACCAATAAATTCTTTACTATGTTTCTCGGTACGAATAGATAGCGCTCCGTGAAGTCGTCGTCTAAGCACCGCTTCTGTTGGACAAATGTGGATTGAGATTATCGGACGAGTTTGAAGTTTTAATGAAAATTTTTAGCAAGAGCAGTGTTTTGCAGAATCTACCACCAGATCGGAAACGCAACCCACTGAGAAGATGCGGCGAGAAACTCAGTGGGCTGTGTATGGATTAATTAACTTGTAGAGACCTTCGTCGCAAGCAACGGGTTCGGCGAGGACGGTGACCGGGGCTTGAGGTACCTAAAAGCACTGTAAATGAATCGGGAGGATCCGTAATGGCGTGTCTAGGGCGACATCAACTGTTTACAATTCGGTCCACAGGATCGAGTATGTCATTCTGCATATTTCTGCCGTGAAGCTTTCATTCATCAAACATGAATACCTAGGCTTGCCATCAATCAATCAATACTGAAACAAAGGAAAAAAAACTATTGCAAATAACATTTATTACTTTTACAGTGTGTTAGTTTAATACATAAATATAAAACAATTTAAAGTATAAAAAGCTTATTCGAAGTGGTCTCCATTGGCTGCAATACAGTACTTTAAACGTTGAGGCCAGTTATCAATAGAAGCACGCACTCTTTCCATGGGAAAAATTTTCACTGCCAATCGTACGGATTGTTTTAGGGACTCCAAATTATCATGGCGCTTAGAGCAAGCCGTACTCTCTAAAACTGACCATAAATCATAATCCAGCGGATTAAGATCGAGACTAGACGACGGCCAGTCTTCAGCTCTGATGAAGTCCGAAACGTTCGTTTCCAACCAAGACTGCGTAGACCGAGCTTTATGACCTGGCGCCGAGTCTTGCTGGAAGGACCATTCTTGATTATTGAACATGGTGTTGTTAAGGGGCTTTGTTACCTTCTCAAGAATGGTATCTTGATACATTTGTGCCGATGTTTTGATACCTTTTTTACAAAAGTATGGCTCAGTCACTCCTTCAAAGCTAATACCCCAGCAAACCATCACTGAAGTCGGATAGTGCCCACGTTGCACTCTGTCGACTAATTGGGAAGCTTACTTAGAACTTTGAGCATAAATACGGTCATTTTGTTTGTTAAAATGTTGCTCAATTGTAAAAATTTTCTCATCCGTAAACAATTTTTTTCTATGACCTCCCTTTGCGTACCGCTTTAGTAGTTGTTTCGATTTTACCACCCTATTCTCTTTTAAATTATCAGTTAAGAAATGACAAGCACGTCTCTTATAGGCTGCAAGTCCTAAGTCATCTTTTAAAATACGCGACATGGTTCTAGGTGCTATCTTCATCTCCCGAGATCTTTTGCTTTCGGACAGGATTTCTTCAAATTCGTTCCCTTACTGCTTTGACCACCTTTTTCGTACGAACACTACGTGGACGGCCAGATATTTTTCTGTCACAAACAGAGGAGGTCTCATTGCACCTATTAATAGCCCGGTAGCACAAACATTTTACTAATACCAAGCGTATGGAGAGTTTTAAAAATTGCATTTGGCTCCATACCTACTTTGTGTAATGCAATCACAGCGATTCGGTTCTCTTTATCACCCCACTCCTTTTAATATCGCAAAATATTGTACAATGTATTGGTGCCAAAATCAGAAAACTCAATGAGCAATCATATAAAAATGACAGCTTCCAAATTCAAATGTAATATTTTGTTTATTTTTAATTGTAACAGTATTTATGGCCAGACTAAGTATATTAAATATGTAAATTTAAAGAATATCCACAATAGTCTAGCCTTGTACACTATAATGAAGACATACAGTCTAGCCACGCCTCTCGTAAGCGGATAATTGAGACATTATAGACCGCGTGCGCATGCACACGATACCAACAATCGATAGTAGATCAAACCCTCAGGTACTATATAATATACATCGTATACGCAACATTAAAAAAAAACTAAAAAAGTTTACTTACACAAAGGTTTTTTTAATTGCCTGCATAAAAAAATACTGTTCGTTTGCTTTGAATCATGATGTTTTTTTTTTTCTTTGAAACAAAAGTTGTCATACACGTAAGTACCGGTAATTTGCCATTCGACCTGAATTAAAATTGTGTGGCTGATGCTGAAATTTTGCATTTCAGTTTTGTTCTGTACGATCGAAATTTTTTGCAATACATTATTATGTGAATATGGTAAGCTTTGTTTATAAATACATAGACGTGACCGCCTATTGACAATGTCTGTATATTTTTTAATAACATGACAATTGATTATCAAGCTGATCTCTAGACAACACAGCGTAAATTCTACTCTATAAATAATACATTTCAAAGGCCTCGATCTTTTTGTGTTCCTTTTTCCTGAGACACCAAGTCTCCACCCCGTACAGGAAGATAGAGAAGACCAACGTACGAACCAAACACATTTTAGTTACTCGGCGAATATTACGGTCTTTCCATGACATGTCATAGCAGTAAGATAACACTGTAGAGTTCAGTTCATAAAAAATTGCTGTGGACGAACTATGCCCTATATCAGGGGTGGGCAAATATTTTGATAGTCGGGCCACATTGCAGATGAAAATTTGACCTCGGGACAAACAGTTTTTTTTTTCTAATTTTATATTGTGCGACTATTATTCATACTGTAATTGTTCAATTATCATAATTATATTTTCGAATAGGAGGCGCTGAATAGAGCGGTTGTCCGGGAGAAAATTTTGGCTCCCACCAACCCTGATAATATGTATCAGTATTGCTTAAAATTTTATCTAAAAAAAATTGTGCACCAATTTATGTTAGACAAAAACTAATATTTGTGTTTTTAATAATAACATATACAATGCTGCACGGGCCAGACAAAATTCTACCGCGGGCCGCCATTTTTTTTAAAAATTTTTTTATTGCTTAGATGAGTGGACGAGCTCACAGCCCTTCTGGCGTTAAGTGGTTACTGGAGCCCATAGAAATCTACAACGTAAATGCGCCACCCACCATGAGATATAAGTTCTAAGGTCTCAGTATAGTTACAACGGCTACCCCACCCTTCAAACCGAAACGCATTACTGCTTCACGGCAGAAATAGGCAGGGTGGTGGTACCTACCCGTGCGGACTCACAAGAGGTCCTACCACCATTTTCCCGGGCCTGCCCTATATGATTACGTATAGTGAGCTACATAGGCAGCCAACATTCTGGATAATGCCAATTGGGAAGCATTATTCATGTATATACAGCCTTTTTTCTGTTTCGAAGAAAAAAAGTAAAACAATCTCAATTTTTATATCAACACATTTGACATTTAATACCGTCACTAACTCTAAACGTCATTTATTCAAAGAAAATCCGATCAGAAGAATAATTACGTGCTAGAAAATAATTCATTAGTTATTATACTTTACCAAACGAGTACAATACCAAGTTCCCTTAAGCCATTAAAACATAATTCGGTGGTTATCCTGTACTTAAGTGAAATGGCTTTCGTCACCGAACTTCCATACAGAGTGGCTCTCTCTGACGGAGACGTCCACAAAGAGAAACAAACCTGGGAGACGAACTACACACCCATTTACGTTATGACCACTATATTCGCTATCATATTTTTCATTGGGCCATTTGCAATCAAGAAAGGAGAAAACAAGTGGTAATTCCAGTTGAATTTGCTAGAGTAGTTTTCAAAGGTACAGCGTATCTCTGCTACCAATAAAACCTATTTCAACGCCATTGTATGTAGAAACTGAATCAGGTAAACGCGAGCACTATTTAAAGCTAACGTTTGTTTTAATAAAAAACCAAGTGCATTATGGTGGACACCAGCTAAGTCGCAACTAGTCCTAAACTGTAGGTACCGTGATTTTGGCGCGCACTACGCGTTATTATAGGTTTCGTCTAGCCGATCTGGTGGAGCTCGATGGGGTTTAGTCGGTAGTCTGTTCTGCGGGGTGGATTTTATTTTTTATTTTTTAATTGCTTAGGTGGGTGGACGAGCTCACTTCCCACCTGGTGTTAAGTGGTTACTGGAACCTATAGACATTTACAACGCAAATGCGCCACCCACCTTGAGATATAAGTTCTAAGGTCTCAGTATAGTTACAACGGCTGCCCCACCCTTCAAGCCGAAACGCATTACTGCTTCACAGCAGAAAATAGGCGGGGCGGTTCAAGACGCGTGGAACCTCCGCTTCTTTCTCAAGGCGTAGTAGTAGGAGGAGTTGAAACAGGAGGATCTATTTCTTCTCCCTCTTCTTCATTGGAGGCGCTGTAGTCAGACATAAACCCGGTATGTTACCCTCCTCGACCGGTTATCCGTAAACAAATTCCCCAGTTTAACAAAAAGACTAGCGCGCAAGAATAAGCCCCCTTTACATACTGTATGACTGTTATACCTGATTAGTATTATCTAATACCTGAGACATCAATTCCAGGCATTCCAGTTCATACGAAATTTAGGCCAGGACAAAGATATTTAAAATGTTGTCACTCAAACTGTTTATATATTAACGTAATAAATAAGACTATTTTGTTTGTTACGTTGGTGGGTGCATAATCTCATGACTCACCTGGTGTTCAGTGGTCACTAGAAATATTAAACTGAATTTAGTCTCCGGGTGATGGAAGGCCGGCTATCCTCGACCCACGCTGGTTCTGGTCCAGCGGGGTATTCCGTAGGATAACTCACTCTAACCGGCGCCATCTAGGCGGGCTTCGGATAGCCTGCCGACCGAGAGGACTGGTGGTCGTGGCGCCGACGACCACCGGGCCGGCGTCCCGAGGGGGAGGGTGATGGGAGAGATGTGCTCCGCACTAAACGCTTCACTTTCCCCCCTTTGCCTCTTCATGACTTCTGTCTCATGCGAGGTTTGGACGTTGGTTGTTAAGCGACAGGAGGTTTTAGTCAGTTCGACTCTGACATGCCCCGCTCTCCATTCCCAGTGGAGGGCGGAAGGCCGGCGATTTCCTCCTGACCAAAAAAAAAGAGCACTGAATTTAGTCACCTTGCTAAATGATTTTAGAGTTTTACGTCATTACGGATCCTCTCGGTCCAGTAACGGTGCTTAGGTGCCACAAGAACCGGTGCTCGCAAGCAAGGGCTCGACGAGTGAATGAACCCATAGACACAGCCCACTGAGTTTCTCGCCGGATCTTCTCAGTGGGTCGCGTTTCCGATCCGGTGGTAGATTTGCACGAAGCACAGCTCTTGCTAGGGCCGGTGTTAGCAACACTCCTGGTTTGAGCCCCGTGCTACACGTCAAGGAGAAGCTGAAATAGCCACTTAAGGCTATCAGCATAGGTAGGGAAAAAATTTTTTGAGTTTCAGTTATGTTGTATAACTCTCTTATTCTTAAAATGGGAGATAACTACTACATTGCAACAGAAATGGGTGCTAAAGTGGTTTCTGCACGGGCTAAACTCAGGAATAACTAAAAAATGTTTTAAGGGTTTTATTTGAAATTCATCCTTCCTTCATCGTGAAAGTTCTCCATGAACATCTGTTCCTTCCAGAAGAGTTCAAAGCTGCCTTTGGATAGAAATGTGGTCAAAGACTCAAATTATAGCCTCAATTACATAACAACGTAATAAATAAAGAAAGCCCGTGCATTCGTATCGAGCAACTAGATCAGGAAGGCAAAAAACGAATCGCCTATCATAATTAAATAATAGCTAAGCTTAATATAAATAATTAACTTAAGTAAAATAAGCTTAGTCTACGTTTAGTCTGGTTCTACGTCACACGAGAAACAACTACGATATTATATCTAGCGTCATTTACTTCTTATACAAATGTGAATTTAATCTTGAACAATTTTCAGGATTATAAAAACTTGCATGATGCTGGCTTCTTTTTTCTTGTGGCTGTTGTAAGTGTTTCAAAATATATAACTGAATTCCTTTAAATTTATTGTACCGAGTGGACACAATATCTTCAACACAATATTGAATCGCTACCTGAAACTATAGTGGTAAGCGCATTTGGAGTCCACTTCGATAAAGCGGCACGACACGAGAACCCTCTCATCGTGGCCGCCGGTAACTACATTCCCGATCCTGCGGAAAGAATGGAAAGCAGTCGACATCGCCCAAAACACGTCATCTCGGATCCTCCCGATCCACTAACGGTGCTTTTAGGTACCTCAAGCACCGGTCACCGTTCTCGTCGAACCCGTCGCTTGCGACGAAGGGCTCGACGAGTAAATTAACCCTCAGACACAGCCCACTGAGTTTCTCGCCGGATCTTCTCAGTGGGTCGCGTTTCCGATCCGGTGGTAGATTCTGCGAAGCACGGCTCTNGGTATTCCGTAGGATAGCTCACTCTAACCGGCGCCATCTAGGCGGGCTTCGGATAGCCTGCCGACCGAGAGGACTGGTGGTCGTGGCGCCGACGACCGCCGGTCCGGCGTCCCGAGGGGGAGGGTGATGGGAGAGATGTGCTCCGCACTAAACGCTTCACTTTCCCCCCTTTGCCTCTTCATGAGTTCTGTCTCATGCGATGTTTGGACGTTGGTTGTTCAGCGACAGGAGGTTTTAGTCAGTTCGACTCTGACATGCCCCGCTCTCCATTCCCAGTGGAGGGCGGAAGGCTGGCGATTTCCTCCTGACCAAAAAAAAAAGAACACTGAATTTAGTCACCTTGCTAAATGATTTTAGAGTTTCACGTCATTACGGATCCTCTCGATCCATTAACGGTGCTTTTAGGTACCACAAGCACCGGTGCTCGCAAGCAAGGGCTCGACGAGTGAATTAACCCCGTAGACACATCCCACTAAGTTTCTCGCCGGATCTTCTCAGTGGATCGCGTTTCCGATCCGGTGATAGATTTTGCGAAGCACTGCTCTTGCTAGGGCCGGTGTTAGCAACACTCCTGGCTTGAACCCCGTGCTAGACGTCAAGGAGAACCTGAAATAACCACTCAAGGCTATCAGCATAGGTAGGGAAAAAAATTTTAGAGTTTCAGTTATGTTGTATAACTCTCTTATTCTTAAAATGGGAGATAATTACTACATCGCAACAGAAATGGGTGCTAAAGTGGTTTCTGCACGGGCTAAAAGGGCAGGAATAACTAAAAAATGTTTTAAGGGCTTTATTTGAAATTCATCCTTCCTTCATCTTGAAAGTTCTCCATGAATATATGTTCCTTCCAGAAGAGTTCAAAGCTGCCTTTGCATAGAAATGTGGTCAGAGACTCAAATTATAGCCTGAATTATATAACCATGTAATAAATAAAGACAGCCCGTGCATTTGTATCGAGCAACTAGATCAGGAAGGCAATTCCATGTCGACAAAAAACTAATCGCCTATCATAATTAAATAATAGCTAAGCTTAATATAAATAATTAACTTAAGTAAACTAAGCTTAGTCTACGTTTAGTCTGGTTCTACGTCACACGAGAAACAACTAAGATATTATATCTAGCGTCATTTACTTCTTATACAAATGTGAATTTAATCTTGAACAATTTTCAGGATTATAAAAACTTGCATGATGCTGGCTTCTTTTTTCTTGTGGCTGTTGTAAGTGTTTCAAAATATATAACTGAATTCCTTTAAAATTATTGTACTGAGTGGACACAATATCTTCAACACAATATCTTTCTACCTGAAACTATAGTGGTAAGCGCATTTGGAGTCCATCAGTAAGTGTCTGCAGTCGGCGTCGATGCGCCACTTCGATAAAGCGGCACGACACGAGAGCCCTCTCATCGTGGCCGCCGGTAACTATATTCCCGATCCTGCGGAAAGAATGGAAAGCAGTCGACGTCGTGCAAAACACGTCATCTCGGATCGTTCCGATCCACTAACAGTGCTTTTAGGTACTTCAAGCACCGATCACCGTTCTCGTCCAACCCGTCGCTTGCGACGAAGGGCTCGACGAGTAATTTAACCCTCAGACACAGCCCACTGAGTTTCTCGTGGGATCTTCTCAGTGGGTCGCGTTTCCGATCCGGTGGTAGATTCTGCGAAGCACGGCTGTTGCTAGGGTTCGTGTGAGCAACGTCGTCAGGTTTGAGCCCCGTGAGCTCACCTACTAGTTAAGGTTACGCTGGAATAGCCTCTCAAGGCTACCAGCTTAGGTAGGAAAAAAAGAAAAAGAAAGAGGAATTAATTCACATACCCTGCTATCACCGTGCCGTCTACGTATAACACAAAGTGATCAACCTAAATTGCGGGATAGTTTTTTTTTTAATCAAAATACCACAATGACTTCCTATCTATTAGTCTCTAAGTCTATCTAAGTATCTAAGTTTTTTTATTTTTATTGCTAAGGGTGGACGAGCTCACGCCCCATTTGGTTTGGTTTCCGGAGCTCATAGACAATGTAAATGCCGCCATCCACCTTGAAATATGAGTTCTAAAGTCTCAGTATAGTTACCCTTCAAACCGAAACGCGTTACTGCTTCAGGGCAGAAATAGACAGGGCGGTGGTATCTACCCTTGCGGACTCACAAAACCTCCTACCACCAGTAAACGGAATCAATATTTGTATTTATCTAAGCATAATTACAAAAATACATAATAGATTCAAAAATAATATCTGACTAATAAATTCAAAATAAAAGCGTACACGTTGAATTTCCTTACAGTAAACCATTAGTAGTTCTCTTTTTTTTCTATTGCTTAAATGTGTGGTCGAGCTCACAGCCCACCTGGTGCTAAGTGGTTACTGGAGCCCATAGACATTCACAACGTAAATGCGCCACCCACCTTGAGATATAGGTTCTAAGGTTTCAAGTATAGTTACAACGGCTGCCCCACCCTTCAAACCGAAACGCATTACTGCTTCACGGCAGAAATAGACATATTCTCTGGCTGTATTGGAATAATGTGTCGCCATCTTTTTGGTTTTCACAAATACAAACTAAATAATTCGTTTACAGTTGGGTAACGGTGTACATAGCAGGAATGAACCCGCTAGTCGGACCTCAGCTACGGAACACCACTCTAGCTTGGATGGCTCACACTTGGGTATAATATGTCCTACTAAATTTTATTTTATAGCCCTTGTAGGCAGACGAGCATACGGCCCACCTGATGGTGAGTGGTTACCGTCGCCCATGGACTTTAGCAATGCCAGGGGCAGAGCCAAGCCGCTGCCTACCGTTTAATACTCTCCACAAGCCTCGTTTGAAGAAGCACATGTCATAGCGCTCGGGAAACACCGTGGAGGGGAGCTCATTCCATAGCCGGATGGTACGTGGCAAAAAAGACCTCTGGAAACGCACTGTGGATGACCGCAGTGGCTCCAGGTAGTATGGATGAACTCTACTCCGGTGGCGGGCGGTGCGATGGTAAAAACGAGATGCCAGTATCATCTCGAACAATACCTCAGAGCACTATTCCTGAGAGCACTCAGAGATCCTAAGTGTAGTTGTTGCAACCGCCTTAACCCCTATTTAAACGGGCTATGAACATTGCATCTTGTTTGCTATTTTTCTTGATATAGCTCAGTATATTTGCAACTTTACCCTTGCTCCAATTTTATTTTGCAATAAATTGCCGAGTGTAGCCCTTCAAGATTCGACAACTGGATTGCTGAGGAGTTTTGCTCATACACTCGGGACATATTGCGGCTAGATCTCGCAAGACAAAATGGTGGATACCGAAGATGTTGCTTGTGCGATGAGACATTAACAGCAGCTAGACCTATACATCAGAGCAAAGACAATATACGTCAATATTGCAGTGAGGTCAAAGCGGGATATATCATTTGCAATGCATCCGGCCAGACAATAAATAGTTGCAACTATAATGAAATATATTGACAACTAGCTGACCCGGCAGACTTCGTATTCGATAAATAAAAGACCCAAACTTTTGTATAAAATAAACTTAAAACAAACAAAAGGAATACGTCCGACGGAGGACATATCAAAAGGAAAACAGAAATATAATTTTTATTTAATTCCGAGCATTTTCATATTTATCTACCTTTTAAGCCTTCTGTGGACTTCCACAAATAATCCAAGACCAAAATTAGCCAAATCTATCCAGCTGTTCTCGAGTTTTAGCGAGACTAACGAACAGCAATTCATTTTTATATATAGAGATTAAGACTTAGACCTTATATCTCAAGGTTGGTTTTCGTGTAGGTACGTTTATTAACTGAACAGTAAACATCAGATTAGACGTCAACTAATTCATCCGATAACACAGTTTTATTTGGTCAAACTTGACACCGGGCTTATTAAAAATAACGTTTGCGATTAAAAGATAATATAAAATGCGTTTATAGCAAATTAAATTAATAAAATACACGTCTTTCGTTTTCCGAGTTACACTCAGTTTGTCCACCGTTGCGACTTGCATGGGGACTTGCATAACCTCCTCCTCTAGCTTAAAAAAAAACTATATGTCAAACATTCATTCGCCGTCTCTCTTACCTTCTAACACGACATCTCCTATCTCACTCACTCAGTCGTGCTCCATATTTGTCATTCACCTGACATTCTGTTCCTATATATTATATATATCTATATTCCAAATTGTATTGTACACATATTGTTTCAGGGTGAATCCGCCCTTGTCACTAAAACTAGCGGCGATACTAGCAGTAGTGGTGATACTGGCTCAGACGGCTAGTAATATTGGTATTAGAGAAGATCAAGAAAAATAAGAAGGATTTGTACTTTTTATTATGATTATTATGTGATTCAATAAATACTATTTTATGTTACCTTGTCTGCCAACCCTATGCCTAAACTTAGCTTTTGATATTCCAAACTTGAATGTATGCAACATATTTTTGTGTACAAGAAAATTATTCGGATCTTTCTAGAATACAGATAAGGCTCGAATTTCGTGTTAATTACCGTTTAGTTAAAATCCACATGAAATCATTTTTTCGTTTATGTAAAAGTACGTTGTTTTATAAAACAAAACTTTTTTAGTTTTTAAGCTATTGCGTAGCTTTTATCGCGGGCTTTGAGCGCGGCGACCTAATCAAGAAATTCCGTAACGAAAATAAAACCTAACAGCCCCCACTCCGCCTACCGTGTAGCTCGTGTTCAACACATGCACACGTTGCGCTTGTGTAGTGTTTGTGAATAAGCGCGCGGCGTGACGTCGCACTGCATGCGCATCATGGAAAGTCTACCCATCTTTCTTTCTCGCGGTCAAACTTATGAGTGTGAGGGGACAGTTAATGTTTTGCTTGTGTTAATGTTTATAATTAATATAGCGTGGTCTTATTTTGTATTGTTTTAATAATAAATTATTATTGTCTAATTATAATTGCATAACTTGATAAAAAATGTTATGCAATAGCTTTACCGCGGCAGTCCCCGAGTTCCACACGTGTTTTTTATTTAAATTACATTCTATATTTGCCTGAAAATTAAAAAGTTTAGTTAGATTCCTACCAAATGATTAATGGCAGTTTCTATTCGAGATATACAAATAAATGGTCGGGCGATAAGCCACACACGGTAATCTAGTTCTAAACTAGTATTCCCTGTGCTATGGGAACCTGACATACATACAACCAGACACACATAAGTATTTACATACATAGAAAACACGCGCGCAGTAAAAAAAGCCTGGAATAAACCTGTTCGTCACACTGTTTTCCCTGAGTGAGAACCAAACCCACGATCCTCGGACCAGCAGTCAGGGACGCTAGCTACCACACCACCGTTACAGTCGGGTACGTTTTCGTTTATTAGAAAATACATTTAAATTATTATTATTTTTGTTCAAACGGGCGAACGAACGAACAACAATAAACTAAATGCCGCCTTGAAATATAAGTTCCGAGTCTATAAGTCTGAGTTATATAGTACAACGGCTCCGCGGCAGAAGTAGGCAGGTTGAATTTCTAAGATCTCATTTCTATGTCTAGTATCCGAAGCAATCGTAGCCCAAACCGAATTGGAAATGAATTCCCGTAAGTAAACGATAAACGCGTCCTCAAACATGCACCAATAAACGGGAATGCAATCAGAAAAGCTGACACATCACGAATCGTAATAGCGAACGCCCCCCAAAACAAATCCGGCTATATCGCGAAAGATCAAAATAACATTTGTACCGAAATCATTTATCAGAGCTGATTCTCTTTCCATTTGGCGTCCCCCGGCTCACACCACCGCTACAACGCCCAATGATCGTAAACTATATTATTTATTGAGTAAGAAAGCGGAAAATAAATTTGATATTTGTGTTTAAAAAAACCCGTTGATTGTTTGAATAGTTGTATGTTTCAAGCCAGCAATTAAATTAAAACTACACAATTTAAACATGAATGAAACAAAAAGAATAAATGTAGGTTTAAATATGTCTGAATTTCATATTTAAGACGGTAAACCTCAATCAACGCATCAAACCATGATCTTCTGATTCACTATATACTATTTTATACTACCCTTACTAAGGGTAACCATAAACTGAATAACCCAGCAATGATGTAAATATCTAATAGTGGCTACCAGAAAGAAATAGAAAAAGTCATGTGTCTTTTTTGTACCTTCATGGTGGATGAATTAATTTGGAAACAAGTGAAAAACGATAACATTCGTGTCATTTCTTAAATATTTTTATGTAACAGGTATAGGTATCGGCTAACTTTAGAAAATAAAGTGTGGTGTATAATTAAAATCGCTATCGCTTATGTCCTGTACGCTCGTTCTTATAGCTAACGCGCACCAAGCTAATGTGTTTCAGGGGAATAACATCTTTGTGGGGTGTTCGTCATTAATACCTGTACGCAACGATTGCCAGATTAAAATTTAATATTCGTATTAACTTCACTGTCATTCTACTAAAGGCTTATGAATATTAAGATTGGATTAGGTAGTTAAAATTTAATCGTGTTAGCGAAAAAAGTAGACATCTAATATGTATTAAAAATAGAGTTCGTTTAAACTCTTATTCATTTGTTACAGTTAGTTTTCACCGATTTTCTCACAAATACCTAGAAGAATTGTAGATTGTACGTTCTACCACGTGATTTTTTCAGGTGCTGCCTTTTTAATACGCTTTTATTAGCTTCAGACGTATGTATGTTTGTAACGGAATCTTTGAACATAATTTTGACTCCCTTTAAAACGTCGGATTAACGACGCTTTTTTACAATAAAATCATTTTTTCTTACACTATTTTTAATTCAAATTTATAAAAAAATATTTTCAATTTTTTATTTGGATTTTCTATAAAATCGTATTTTGTTAGTTTAAACTATTATTTATTTTTCCTATCCTTCTTCAGATAAGAGAGACACACAACAGAAGACACTGCATAATCGTGCCTGTGCAAAAATTATATTTAAGCAAATACAGATACCAATAGCAGAATCCCTTTGCTTAACGTACATGGAAAAAGTTCGCGTGAACCTTAAATAGTTACATTTGATAAAAAGGTTTGATATTTGTTTGATTGTGTCGTCCACCTCGTTGTTTTTGCCACAGATTCGCGCCATATTGAACGTCACCCCATCTAAATGATAATTCGAGGGCCCTCTTCACAATAAAAATTATTGCGGCCAGTTTATTTTATTACACTTGGTATTGTGTTAAAAATATACAAATAAAACGATGCTGTTCAGTTAATAATTTTATCTGTATTTTACCTCTTATGCAATTGTAATACGGATCATTGTATCTTGAACACAGAGAATTATAGGCTGTGAAACGATAGTTTTTGAACATAGTGTTGAATTGTTTTGCTGAAAAAATATCGATATATCGATTCTTTTGTGATTTTGGAAGATGCTCCCCATTGTCGATGTTTGAAACTATCTCTAACTATCTAACTTACTCTAATAAGTGTCTGATGTGTGTATGTTAGCTAGTTTATTATATGACCCATCATCACGTGTTGTACAAAAAGTTTCATCAGCTGAGAGTATTCATATGTTTGGAGTTAAAATGTCGAGTGCGATCCAGTTTTAGTGTCGCTAAAAGTAAAACACTCAAATAGACTTCATAAATATTGAGGTTTCTCACTAGAACGAGGAAGTACTACTTAAAACCGGCTCAGATTGTGTTATAGACCGGACCTCCGCATACCAATAATTTTCAGAAAAGATCTTCCAAGTCGTCGGCGACCCACTCTGTCTGGCAAACCGTTGGATAGGCTGCGTATACGCTTTGCACACTCGTATGCTCCAAGGAGAATGATCTAGAAGAACTTCATTTCAAAGCTAAAACATAACCTTCAAACTAGTTTTAAGGAAAACGCTAAAGAATATCCTAGCATTGGTCCATTGGCGCATAGTCATTCTTATAATTATTATGTGGAACAAATATAACAATGTTTTTCCTTTATTTTGACTTGATAATTAGATAAATATGTATACATTTGAATCTCCTTATTATTTTGATAATAAAAATTCATCCTGCCGTGGGCGCAGAGCATGGTTTGAAAAGCATCTTATTAATAAACTTCTTGCCTAACCTTCTTTATTCCTATCTTCTTTAGATCAACAACACATTCAAGTATCTTGGGTGGCGTGTATATTTAAAAAAAAGAAGAGAAATTAACCTACTCATCAGATGTTAACAATAGTCCTGAATGAATGATTCCTATCAAGTTTAATGACGATAGAGTTTACATGTGTGACGTAAGAATGAAAGTTGTTGTCATTAAAATGTTTTTTTTTTATATTTATCGATAAACTCGCCGCCCTATACAGAAGCTGATGTACTACAAGGTATTGAACAAAATAGATAGAGATTTCGCGCCTCTTACCCTTTGACCAATACAGCCACAATTTCATCCTATTTACATTTCGAGAGGGCGCCTCCGCTGTNAAACGTCTCTTGTTAATAAACTTCTTGCCTACCCTTCTTTATCCCTATCTTCTTTAGATCAACAATACAATCAAGTATCTTGGGCCATCAGATGTTAACAATAGTCCAGAATGAATGATTCCTATCAAGTTTAATGACAATAGAGTTTACATGTGTGACGTAAGAATGAAAGTTGTTGTCATTAAAATGTTTTTTTTTTTATATTTATCGATAAACTCGCCGCCCTATACAGAAGCTGATGTACTACAAGGTATTGAACAAAATAGATAGAGATTTCGCGCCTCTTACCCTTTGACCAATACAGCCACAATTTCATCCTATTTACATTTCGAGAGGGCGCCTCCGCTGTAAATATTTCCTTTCAGTTTATGGTAAAAAGGTTTTTATTACCGTGACCCTTTGGTCAGTAAAAAATAAACGTTACTTTTGTTTTTCGTATCCTTTTGCCGTTTTTTTTTTTTGTTTTAATAAAGTATAGGGCATTTTATGACGCAAATGTTTTATAGTGTTTTCTTCGGTTTTTGCGAACTGTCACTATAATTATTAAAAGTAGGTAGGTACACACTTTTACGGTTTAAGCTCACGTTTTTTATTGACTTATAGTATTACAGACGTTTCGAATAGTTTACGGCTTTCGTAGCTTACGACCTCGACTACGCTATATCAAACCGTAAAAGTAGTTTAATTACAATGTTATATTTTAATCGAGTGAGTTATTATTCGCGTCCCATTGAAATTGAATAGGGCTCACACCAGTCAGTAGGTACATAATCATCAAATTCGAAAATTTGAGTTAAAACAATTTATAGCAACATTTAATAGCCCCAGAAGCTG